AAACAGGCAGTTAGTGTATTTTAGCTGTTAAATTCTGTAACACTGTAGCCATTTCATTGCTGTCATTAGCTTGCTTGACTTATCTCCAGCTCTAGATTTGAAATAGTTTCTCCCTAATAAACCCTTGTGTTTCACAAAGCAGATCTTAAAATACAGTCAGATAGCAAGCAACTCTGTGAAACCTGTGCTGAGAAACAGATCTGTTTTTGTTTTCCAGCTGACTACAAGCTCTCACTGGGACTTCTTTTTTTTTCCTCGATGTCTTTAGAGCTTCTCTAAGGGCTGACCACTTTGCAGACTCCCCTCTCTCACTTCAGAGCTTCCTTCCCATACCTAGGTGCACACTTTCAGAAAAGCTATAGGACATAACTGTCTTTCAGGATTCTACAACACCCCCTACTATAGGTGTAAAGATGTGGTCCAAGGATTCTGAGATCAACAAAGATGACAGATGAGGAAAAGAGTAAAAAAATACTGCTTCAGAATTACCTAAAACATCCTTATTTAGCTTTACTTTCCAAAGAGAAGTGCTTGTAATTGCAATGTTTTACAAGAAAGAGAAAGCATCACATTAATGCACATTTCACACAATTCTTCACATCATGAGTGCTTACAGGGCCACCTCCATGAGTAATTAACATGGGATGCAGAGTAACATTACACAGCTCTAGGGCCACCTCTCAGCACAGAGAATGTACACTCAAATAAGCACACTGAGAAATCCTGGCCCTATCACAGCAACATTTTCATCCGTTTTATTTAGAGAATAAGCAACTCACTGGTTTATATACTTCCATTATATAATTATGGATTACAAAGAAATGTGTGAAACTTCCAAGATTCGTTACGGCTGGTCACTAGAGAAAGAACAAAGCTTGACTCTTCTTGGCAAATTTAGACAGAACAGTGAAACTTGAATTAAAAAAATCACCATCAAAAACCCACTCCTTTTTGGTCTCATTTGTGATAGGCTAAATTCACAGAAATTTTCATAGGCATTCCCAAGACTTCCCTACCACAAGCAGCTCAGTAGCCATCCCCTTTCTGAACCAAAATGAATGCAAAAACTAAGGCAGAGGTCTGCATCTGCAGGGTCCCAACCTGAGAAATACCATCAATACTGTAATACTCAAGATCATGCTGAAACACAGAGCCGTAGCCACTTCCTTTTGGGCATCGCTGCCTTTACATTAGAGTCAGCCAAGGTGTGACCCACCCGCAGATGACAGACTCACTGCTGTCCTACTCTTACAACTCAGTGAGATTTCCCTATCCAGCAAGGAGCAGCCCAGCTCCTGCTAGTACTCCTAGCCCAGCTAGTCCCCACCCAGATTTACATCCTGAAGAAGTTGTGCTTTGAGGCAGAAGAGAATTCAAGATTATCTATTTAGAAAGACGAAAGAAGAGAAAGCATCTCTTTAGCCTAATAGGGCACTCAGCTGGGAGGAAGGAGTCCTGCTCCTGATCCTTATGCTGCTTCTATATTTTATCGGTTATCCATTTCCTGCACAGCAGGAACAAAAGGCACAGCTCTCCCCCATCCCAAGCATATCCTTTAAAATGCATTTTGGCTTGGAAAACTTTCACATTCCAATTTTTTATTTTTTTTTTCCAAGATGAACAGTTAGAACAGTAACTAAAGTTGTGGTTGTGTTACCTTAAGGGAGTAAAAACCCTACAGAAATACTGTAACAGAGAACATTTGTATAATCAGCTGCCAGGACTGGAGAGAGGGAACACTAAGGATAATGCTCAGAATTAGAATCCTTATTTTACGATTGTTCATTTGGCAATTTTGCAATTCTAATTCTTTATTCCTGTGGCAAACATGACAGTGATATCTTTAAATCCTATTTTTATGATTTATCTACAGAAGCCAATGCAAAAGGCACTTCTATAGTGGCCTTTCATCTGAAAACTCCTTATACTCTGAAAATAGAAATTAATCTTCCCAACACTTAACTACTTCTTCCAGAGCATTAACAGTATATTTTACAGGTGGTGAAGCCAAGGCAGAAGAGCGTTGAGTCAAATACTCAAAGTGACATAATAAACCTAACCTGGTACTGCAAAATGTCTCTGCATGGTTGAAGTCCACATAATATTTCTTGGAGACAGTAAAGAAGAAAAATGAACCTCTTGAGACTCACAGTTGAGTTGTCATCAGAATACTATATGTTTTTCTTGATAAAACACTTGCTACATAAATATGCTCGATATTACAAATCTGAATTTTTCCTAGTTTGAAAATTAGATTCAACAAAACTGTTTCTGTACTGCATTAGCACCAGGTTACGTTGGGGCATAACACAGCAGTATTGTAAAACTCGTAATTCCAGTCAGTATGCAAAAATCAGAACTCTTTCTAGTCTAGTCAAGGCCCTTTTGCACAATTAACAACTTGGTGTCAGCAATGCTTTTTTTTTTTTTTAATTGCAGCAATCTAATTTTGCTGCATGTGCCTATGTGTAAGGGTGTGTGTGTCCATGCTGAAAGAAGCCTATTGTAAACAGGTCAAAGTATGAGATAAAAAGCCCAGCTTTCAGTATTAGCATTTAATTTCTAGGCATACGTACGAAATTCTCAGGCCTCAAAAGCATTATCTGATCAGGACAGGCAGAAACAGCAGCTCTCCCGTACTCTGAGTGCCATACAACATGCATCAGACTGTCATCCTTCTGAACAGGAACCATTATTCACCTTGTAATCGATCACTGTTTATGTCACACAAATTGCTGCAGTGTAACTAAGATGAAATTAAAAGCACAAACATGAAATTTTGCTTTCTAGTTACATGACATTAGATTAGTTTTTAATTTTTCCATGCAAATCAAACAAATTTTAATATGAAACAGACATATATATATATATATTAGGTGGTGGACATAACTAACTAGGCTGAATTTAAGTTACATAAGCTAGTGTGACTTTTCATATGCAGAAAAGGTCTAAGTCATAGGGTATAGAAGCCCACACCCCTACCCTTCTGCCTTTCTGATGCAAACATTCACACAAATGAACAGTTGTCTGGATATTCACGGTGCATTTCCTGCAACTATTTTTCTGGATAATTGCTTGACAGCAGAAACACTAATGGGAAGTCAGTAGTATAAAGTGTGTTTCCTTCCCGTTTTTATTCAACTGATATATAATACATTTAGTAGCATTTAATGGATTTTAACTACTTAAATACAATAATCCAATATCAGAACCAGAAAAAATTCTTTGCAATTACACATCTTGTACTGAGATTAGACTAAATGATTATCCATGTTCTGTGAGTTGTTTAAAATTGCAGACACCTGTATCCTAAGAAAAGCATTCACTCACCAATTAAAAAAGAGACAGATGAAGATAGGTAAAGCATGCAAAGCCTAATTTTACAGCACAGACAAGAGCAATTTCAGTTCTTCTAGGAGGAAACATCTCCTTAATGACAAAATTAAGGATTTAAGATCAAAGCCCAGTCTTATAGTCATTACACAAAAAAAATGTAGTCAGGTGATAAACTGCAACTGCTGCTGGTAATATTCCTTCCCCTTGAGATATAAGAAAAGGAGGATATAGAACTAAAGTCTGATCTTGAAGATTAATTCAGTGATCATGGGAATTTCACCACCTTGTATTAGAATCCAGACCAGAGCTAGAGAAACAAATAATCTTTAGTGCCAGAGAAGCCCCCTAGCAATACTCAGGAGGGAGAAAAAGAGGGGTAATACACAAAACCAAGTGCAGGGAATTAAAATTCTTCTCATTATGAAGGCAAGTGCTGAGCTGTATAGACAGAAATGTACAAAACAGAGAACCATCAAGGCAAATGAAGGGAGCTAGCTGTAGTGCAGCGAAAGTAAAATCTCAGCTGACAATATCATATATCCAAAGCACAATACAATACTGATGACTAACACACCACTGCGTTAGTTCATCTATGTATTTGGCCCTGTATTAGATTAAAATCTAGATTTTGAAGAGAATAAATAAACGTTCCTTATACAAACAAACTCTTAAGAAAAAAGATATTAAGTTCCCTTTAAGCTCGTGATACTCAGAGATGCTGGACTGCAATACTAGGCCTTAGCTTCCTGAGTATGATTCATATTTCAAAGCAAGACAAATAAATGCCAGAGCAACAACAATCAAATCTGAGCAAAAACACATACTGGAAGACATGTGTTCAGGAAATTACAGAGGGCAAAATCCTAATCTGAGAACAGCATTTGTTGACAGGGCTATTGCTGTGCATCATAGCGACACTGGGCCCAGAAAATTACGTCAGGAGTCTAAGGTTTTCCTTTTCTGTAAAATCACAGTATAAAACCTAACCTTCAGGAGCCCAAAGTATTTGCAGTCCCATGAAACATGAGCATACCTCCAGCCATTTAGAAGAACTGACCCTGTTCTGCATTCCGCCCCGAGGCATTACTCAACAGAAGTGGTCCACCTCATACTGCAGGGCCTTACAACTGGCCTGGTTAAATGCCCACATCACACCTTGCAGTTAAAGGATGTGCTCTGATGCAACAGGGCATCCCAATACATTCCCGTATTTCAGAGAAAGCCCATACAGTTCTGAACAATTCCAAAGCCTCATATGCTCTGAGAGGAGCAGCAGAGTGATCAACCGAACAGCATACGACTGTCTATACCCTCTGTTCATCCAAAATGAATTACAGAAACCCTTCTAAAAGTGCCTTTTATGCAGAAGCAGTATACATGAAGTAAAATGCACGGGGCATGTCCCCTCAATAATAAATATCAGCATAACCTGAGTGATTTGAGCAGGGACAGCTCACGCTAAACAACACATATACATGGAGCCTAGCATAATGACACCCACAAATATGCTATAGAGAGAAAATCAGGGGTAGGGAGTGGAATGGATTTCTTCTACTGATGCAATGTAACTGCATCTGCTCCACAGATGATCTGTCATAAACTGCTTATCAATTCTTTTCTGCCCAACTGATTTTTTGTTCCCTCCCCCTTTTAAATCCAAACAGCTGACAAAGTCAACGATGACTTCTACACCAAACGCCGACATCTTGCAGAACTGGCTGCCAAGGGGAGCCTTCCACTGCACCCGGTGCGCATAGAGGAAGACAGAGCATACACAATCGACAGCGGCCTAACCAAACAGAACGGGCAGAAATCCAAAATGGCAAAGATACACACGCACCCATTAGGCTACAATTCCCATTACAAGACCTGGGATCCAAACGACCAGTCTCTTAGACGGCAAGCATATGCAAACAAGGGGAAATACAGTATGGGAGACCCAACATTAAGTGACCCACTGACAACTCGGAGTCAGAATTATTTGGGCCCACAGCCATACTTCATAACCAACAGCAAGACAGAAGTAACTGTTTGAGCTTTTCTTTTCCTGTTTTTTTTTTTTTTTTTTTTGTAAAGAAATCCTTTAAAAAACACATACAAATATAACACACAAACACTCAACTAAAAGGCAAAAAATAAATTTTAAAACAAAAAGGAAAAAACAAAACAAAACAACAACAAAAAAGACAAAAACAAAAACAAAACCCACAGTGGAATGAAGAAAGCAAGCAAGGAAGGAAGGAAAGAAAGAAGGAAGGAAGCTCCACCTGGACATTCTTGGTATCCAGCTAACTTGACCGAAGAGTGAGTTAATACCATTCAGCAATACACACTGAAGGTTGAATTATAAACTCCATTTGTATTTCACAATGGAACACAAACCCTTGTGACTAAATTTTTTTTACTTGAAACTAAAATCCATGATGAGAAGTAGCACAATCTAGAGAAATTTTATGTCTGCTTAACATTTACTCTATGTACCTGCCTTGAGACAGAGGAAGAAGAGAAAACAATACACTGTAATATATTATTTCAGTGAAGAATTTTGTATAAAACCTATTAACAATCACTAGACCCATGAAAAGACCAAACATCTTGGTACAACTCCTAACATCAGTTATCATACTTTCATCCCATTCTATAGAAAGTGCAAAAAATATTTATACAGTAAGAAAGACTCTTTCATGTGGAATTTATGGAGACTGTTACATTTTAGAGCATATACAACCTTTCCGGCTGACAGTATATAATTCCGAGGGATAATAACAATCAGCAGGAGATTTTGTTTCAGTTTACTTGCTTTGAAATTTTTTGGGATCCTTCAAAATAAGAAGAGACACTTCATGCGACACAGACAGCTGCTGGGGGAATAAGGGCATCAAAACATTCCCTCTCAGTCCTCCTGTTTTCAGGCAGATGGTAACAATTCTCACTTCGAAGACAGTCAGGACTTTTTCTTCACCTATATGTTTTGCCTATCTTCAACTGCTTCAGACTGAAAATAAGCGTGGGTGGTGCCTTTACTGTATTACTATTGTTCAATGACAGTCTTGTTTCTTCAAGTGACCCCTTTGTCCCTTTATGCTATTTCCTCATGTTTTGCTAAGGATGACAAGGGCTCTGCCCTGCTCAGCCCCCTCTGTTTGTCCTGAAGGGAAGCTGGACTACATCTCCAAGCAGCAGTCGCAGTCAGGCTGCACTATTTAGTTAGGCCCCTCCATTTTCCTAGTTTAAACTTTTCTCCTTTAGTCTGTCATTTTGTATTTGCTTTTAGCCATGGTAGTTCTTTCTTTGTAGTTCAATTAAATGTTATATGGTATACTGTCTCTATTGTTTAGCTCTCTATAATGGTGTTCCCCCTCGGTGGACTATCTAATGCAAGAGTCTATTGGACTAGCCTCAAACATCAAAGAGGTTTGGGTTTAAACTCATCAACTGGATTCATGGTCTCAGCTGAGGCTCTGATGAGATGGATGCCTTGTTTATATGAGTAAAACCACTCTCTAATTGGTCTCTGGTAGCAGCCTCACAGCACCAGGCCTGTAAGGCTTCTGCAAATCCCCAATAAGGTAAGCAGAACTGGGATGGTAGGCAGCATGCTCAGTTTTTCACTTAAATTCCTGCCCTTCCCCCTGACCTGAATCCTAACGAGCTATCTTACTACAGCTGAATTCTCAGTAGCTGTCAGTTATTCCTGAGATAAGTTGTGGAAGGGTATGCAGGGAGGAGTGAGAACTGTTATGTTGTAATAAGAATGTGAAGTGGCATTTCTTACTGTACTCAAGTGACTGGCAGCATTTCTTTTTAGCCCGAAGGATGCAAAGGCTACGAATGTGAAATACAGTTAAATGGAAAGATCACTTTTTCTAACCTATGTTGAGATTGACATGTGTTCTGAGAGCATCAGCATCTCTCCATAAGTGTTCTGCTAAACTGTATCATCATCTATTTTAAGACTATCAGAATTGGACAAAACCCAGGGGACAAATACTTTGCACACAACCCAGACTCTCTATTATCTTACTTTTATTCTTTTAATCTCTATTGCCTTCACAACTGGCTGACTTAATTTGACCCTTTATGGAATGTTCCCGTTAATCCATTTGCTTTAGATAACACTTTACAGCTGCACTGTAATTCACAGAGGTTTCGTGTAACTTAAGCATATTTTATGTGGAAATATTTTAGTAACTGTATGTTCTGTAAGCAAACCTGTGTTAATACTTGTTAACTACAGAGTTTATGATACCAATAATACTTCCTACAATAAAAATGTTTGTTTGTTTTTTTAAGAATGTTTATTTGTAAACATATGTATTCACTATATTAATATGAATTTCTTACCTGGCAATAAAACTGATTCTATGTGAATCCAATATGCTGGCTCATTTGTTAGCTTTTGCCATTGGATCAATTTTTGATTATTAACTGAGTTTCTGGATCTTCTCACTGCAGCCAACAGCATTCACCTCAGCAAAAATGAAGGTGTGACTGCCATTGGTAATCTGGTGAACAAGGTTCTTTGGGAAGTACACGCATACTGTATATGTTATGTAAGTGCAAAGAATGTTACACTCAGGGTAACAATACATATAATGCATGCACGCCTTGCAAAGGTCCACGTGTCCTATAAACATCCAAGCTCGCGCACTTTATCAAAAAATTAGTTTTGAGGAAAGAAAAAAAGGTAAAGATGCACAGGGCCAGATTTTGTTCCTCACGACTACAAGGGAAATTTGCAGTAAGCTTCAACTGCATCCCAGGACTAAAACTACCCTGCAAGTACAGATGAAACACTGGTGTATATTGCTTCAATTTTTTTTAGTATGTTCGCTACCAAGAAACCTGTATGCAACATCTGTGTACCAAGCCAGCTGGGACAGAAAGACCATTTATAGGCTCTCATTACTGTTCATGGCTCATAAACCTGACCACGAACGGAATCTCAGACAAGGAGTGTGCTGGCAACAACTGTTTGCTTTGTTACAATGACGTTGGGTGAGTTTCAGCAGGAGAAACAAGGAATCAGCTTCCTTTCAGCTTTCTCTCCTTGAACTGCCAGAGGGCATTTTCAAATATGTTCAAGTATTCCTCTGTCCACTTCTTTTGTTTCCTCTGTCATACTCACCCCAGTGCACTGCTTCTCTCCTATGTACCCTATCCTTTCAAGTGACCTTCCCACTAAATCATAATAGTCTCTTGGACAAAACAAAAGGCATCTTCTCTGGCTCCACCCTCTGAGAGCTTGCTTCCCTCCACAAACCTGTGTCACATTCATTTGTCTATCTTCATTTGCAGACGCTCAGTTTAAGTTAGTAAGTTCTCCACTATTCTCTCACTTGTATTCCAGGGCTTCTTCTTACTGTTGCTTGTATAATGCTGATCCTATTCAACTAAGTTTCCTGGGGCATACCTGTTAATTTCTAAACAGTCTGCAGTACTTTTGGTAACTATAGAATTTCATAATGCTTGGTAGTGAGGTCTCCACTAGTAGCAATATCCAGTCATCTTCAATAAAACCTCACTGAAAATAAGTAGTGCTTATCCCATAGACAACCACAGATCTCACTGATTTCTCACAGCTTCAGCTATCTTTGACTTCCCACATCATCCTCTAAGTAACCAACTGAAATCAGGTTTCCAACCTCTCATTTCTCTGTTCCTATCACAGAATCACAGAATCACTAAGGTTGGAAAAGACCTATAAGATCATCCAGTCCAACCATCCACCTATGACCAATGGTTCTCGCTAAACCATATCCCTCAACACAACATCCAAACGTTCCTTGAACACCTCCAGGGAAGGGGATTCCACCACCTCCCTGGGCAGCCCATTCCAGTGCCTGACCACCCTTTCAGAGAAGTAGTATTTCCTAATATCCAGCCTGATAATATCCTCACTTTCTCCAGCTCAATACCCTGATGTTTGTTTTTTCCTCATGCATTAGCCTGAACCTTTTGTCACCACGAACAAGAACTGCATTGGGTTTCCTTCAGTATTTCTTCTGTAAGTCTCCCTGATATTAACTGAGTCTCATTATACCCAATAATGCATGTCATCAAGAAATGAAGGTGTTCCATATACAAAGTTATCAGGTCTCATAACATTCCACATTGTAGCTGCAAATGTTTCAGACTCACTACACAAACAGATCTAGGAAAAGATTCATGCTTTGTTCTAATTTTATAGAATGATTAATGAGTCTGGAGTACTAAATAAACAACCCTACTCCAAAAATCCATTTTACATAAAATCCCGTGCACTTCATTTAAGCCCGGTCTCCACATTTAAAATACATTAAGGATTCCAGTGATAAATATAGTCTTTAATGTAATTATATCATCTAGTGCTGAGGGCAGAGTTTAGTGAGAACCACTGGGGATAGGTGGATGGCTGGACTGGATCATCTTGTAGGTCTCTTCCAACCCTGGTGATTCTACAACTCTATTTTGCATGGATAATTTTATTTTGATAAAAACCGTTAACAGGAGAAAGCATTATTATATGAGTTTATATCATATCAAGTACTATCCATTTCTGACAATGTGATAATAGGATGAGTATCCTCTTACTAAAAAGTGGGTATTACTATTTTTGTGAGTGGGAAAGCTGTATTATTGAGTCTACAGATTACATATGACTTTAGATAATTTTGTCAGCTATTTCAGTATAATAATATTATTAGCTGTGCAGGTGACATGCTAGCTTGGATCTGAAAGCTATTTTCAGCCACAGACAACTGAATGAAAGCCCTATTCATATAAAGTTATAAAACTTGCTCTACGGATTGTTTTTAAAATACTACCATATGGTCCATAAGAAATTGCTTACAGGATACATTTAAGTCCTAATTACAATAATAATAATATTGTATCAGTTCAATATCAAAGTCCCAAAGGAGTAAAATTCCTATTAACACTGTTGGCTATATGAAATATTAGAAAGTACTCAGAAAATTCCTAGGAATTAATCCTCTAGAAACAAGACTGATTTGTAAGAACAAAACCTGAGGTTTTCTAATTGTAGATAAAATCATGGGTTTACCAGCAGTTTTGCA